CATTTGTCATTATACTAGTTAATTAGTTCATTACCATTATTGTTACATTTTTCATTATACTAGTTAATTAGTTTATTAGCATTCTTGTTACATTTGTCATTATACTAGTTAATTAGTTAATTAGCATTGTTGTTACATTTTTCATTATACTAGTCATTTACTTCATTAGTATTCTCATTAATTGTTAAAACAACTCTACTTCAATAAACTAGTTAATTGTCATTATAGTTAAAGTCACATTTTCTTATTTTCAATTTATATTTGTAGGAAGAAATAGTAGTTCAATCATTTAATTAAAGTACTTAACATTTTATTTAAGTAGTTTTTACTAAATTAAAGTACTTCAAAAGTTGCTATAATTTTAATTTTAAAGTCACACATTAATTCTACTTTGCACTAAATTAGTTTGAAGTATTAATTAAAATAGTTTTAATTAGTTGCATTAGTTTTGTATCCATTATTATATTTGTTGTCAATTAATATTTGTTACATTTTTAAGATGGAAGGTGGTAGATATTCGGTTGATTTGGGTAACCTCCAACGCAATCAAAGGAACGAGATTGGGAGGAAGAAATCCCGCAAAGGTAAAGAACTTGCCGGTTCTTCATCTCAAAGCCGAGATGATTTTGAAACGGGTTACCAAAGGCGAGATGAAGATGCGATGTCCGAAGAACAACTCCAACAAGAATTGGCCCGACATAATAACCGCTTTCTACAACAACAACAAATGCCGACGACCATTGACGAAGAGGAGCTTGAGGATGAAGATGCGGAGGAATTGGAACCGGAGACGGCCGAGGAGGAGGGTGCCGGCAGCCACGACGCCGACGAGCCTGCCTCATCCCAAACCGCCACCGGTAATAAAAAAAGTAAGTCTGAACTAATGAAAAATAATTTTGATAAATGGAAGGACCCACAAACCGGCTATTGGCACGCAACTTGCAAGTGGTGCAACAACAATTATAGTTTGGGAACCTCCGGTGGATACGGATCCGCCGCAAGGCATCTTAAGGCAAAGCACCCCGTGGAGGCGTGGAGTATGCAAAATTAGGCGGCGGAACGGGGAAGCAAACTCAAATATCGAGGTTTGCGAATTCTCAACCTTTTGATAATTTCTCTTACAATGATGCACAAAATTTGACTGGTATGGCTAACTTAATTTGTGAAGAAAATTTGCCTTATTTGTTTTCTGAAAGTCTTGCTTTAAGAGATTATGCACAAGGTAGTTTAAATCCTCAATTTAGAAATTATAGTCGCAAAACTGTTAAGAAAGAAATAATAAGGCTTTATAATGCGGAAAAGGTAAGATTACAATTTTTTTTTGCAAACTTTGATGGGCGTGTTACTATTTGTTCTGACATATGGGAGGATGATTTTCATCATTTATATTATTTGGGTCTGACTGCACATTATATTGATGAGGATTGGAATATGCATAAACATGTTCTTGCTTTTCGTGAATTTAATGATCGTCACACCGCTGAACATATTTATATTTTGATTGAGCGTATTTTAATTGAGTATAATTTGATTGATAAGGTGTTTGCTATTGGTTTCGATAATGCTACTAATAATACTGCTGCTATACCTAGATTGCGTGAGTTGTGTGGTGCCAATACTTTGATGGGTAGATTTTTTCATCAACGGTGTGCATGCCATGTTATAAATATATGTGTGCAAGACGGTTTAAAAGCGTTAGGAGATTCCATGGAGGTAATCAAGGGGGGGATTAGACGTATTTGGGGTAATGGTCAACTTAGATTAAAATGGCAAACTTATTTGACTGAAAGAGGTGTGAGATATGTTGCTTTTCCTAAAGATTTGAGTATTCGTTGGAATAGTACTTATAAATTACTTAAAGTTGTTCTTAGATATAAAGAACATTTTCCTGCTTTTTTAAAAGAACATGATAACTATATTATAAACGCGGCTGAGATCGACACTTGCGAAAAAATTTGTAATGTTTTGATTTTTTTTTTAATGCTACTGAAACTTTTAGTCATGTTTATAAACCTACCGCAAACCAATTTATTCGTAAAGCTGTTAATCTCACTGGTGCTTTTAAAGAATTTGAGAATGCCGTTTTCGTTCATTATTTTTGTGATTATATGAAGGAAAAGTTTTTAAAATATTATGCGCATATTCCTCATATTTATGGTATTGCATTTATTCTCGATCCTCATTATAGACTTGCTAATTTGAAAGATTGTTTCAACTTCTATTATCTTGCGTTTTTTGGTGAATTTCCAATGTATGACGATAACCCCATAGATCCGAAAACGGAATAAAACGAGGTTAGTACTTTATTTTATGCCTTATTTAATGAGTTTCGTGCACAATATAGCAACGCTCCCCCTCCCCGTCACGAACATCTTCATCTAAAGGAAAATCGTTTTTTAAATCTGCATTTGGCAATCTTATGAAAAAAACAAAAACAACTCACGTCACTGAACAAAGTGCATTGAATGAGATTACTTTGTATTTAACATATGAAGTTGATTTTGAAGAAAATGATGATTTTGACGTTCTAGACTGGTGGAAGTCAAAAGAAAGAACGTTCCCGATTTTAGCACGGATGACTAAGCAAGTACTATCAATGCCGATTTCAACAGTTGCTGTGGAACAAGAATTTAGTTCGGCCGGCAACGTCCTAACGGCATCTAGATCGAGATTGAGCGCGGAGTCTCTTGAGACGCTTATATGCTACCACGTAGAACTCAAGAAATGAGCATCACCCCCTCCCAAGATTTTATGGATGACTCAACAACCGATGGTGGCTCTACCTATGCCGGAGATTCCGATTGATTAGTATTTTAGAATTTATTATAAAATGTATTTTGTAGCACTTGTCATATTTATTTATACTTGTACTTCATATTTGAAAATTGTAAACTTGTACTTCATATTTCAAAATTGTAAATTTGTAGTTGTACTTCAAATTAATTTGTAAACTTGTACTTCATATTTCAAATAAATATGTGTTCACTTTTTCATATGTAGCACTTCTCAAATTAATTAATTGGTTACAAACTAACGACTTAAAATTATTTTTCTAAAATATAAAGCCGGTTTTTAAATTAAAAATACATTTACAATATGTAATTTGTTTAAATACTTATACACCTATTTTTTAAAATTTGTAAATTATAAATCAAACCACTTTTCTAAGTACAAATAGTTTTAGTTTTACTTAATTCATTAAATTAATTAATTTATTTTACAATATGTATAACTTTAAAAAAAAATTGAAATCAAACCTCCCAGACGGCTATATAGCCGTTGGGCCTATGGGTGGGGGGCAGGGGGGTCCCGGGGGTGGTGGTGTGGGGAGTGGGGTTCAAAAACATCTATAAATACATCTATTTTCTAACATTTTTCTACACCTCTTCTCCAATTCTTCTCCAACTCTTCTCCATCTTCATCTTCTCTTATTATCCTACATTCCTACAATCCTACTTATACATATACCATTTGAAATATGGAAAGTACATCTTCCCTTATGCAAAACAATTTTGACAAGTGGAAGGACCCGAAGACCGGACTGTGGTGGGCAACTTGCAGGTGGTGCAAGAAAGAGTATTGCTTGGGGCGTTCACACGGATACAGGATGCCAATAAAACATATGAAGTCCTGTGACAAAGGGAAAACAACAACCAACGGTGGCGGAAATCCCAATTGATATTCATTAGAAAATGTATTTCGTATTGTTATTTTTTTCTCAATTCTCAAATGTAGTTCCTATTTCAAATAAATGCACTTGAACTTTGTTTTTAATAGGAAATTGTATAATATATAATTAATTTTAAAAAAAAATACTGGCCCGGCCCGGCGGGTGGCCCGACCCGTGACCCGGCCGGGTGGCTCGGCCCGAACCGGAACCGACCATTGCCCGGGCCGGTCCCGGGCCTACCTTTACCAGACCTGAGGCCCGACCGGGCCTTGGCCCGGCCCGGGCCCGACCCGGGTCCATCACTAATCTGGAGCAACCAAAAAAGACTGCAGATACTTCATATAAAAGAAGGATACAGCAGTCATTTAGTTCATCCATGGTAGAATAATAATTTTCAGCGGAAGAAGTAGCCTACTACTTACTTTTTTGGCTGATAAATCTGATAATAGGAATAAGCCAAAACAGCCCATTTAATGAGTGTTTGGCAATTTTTTTTCCATTTTCAGGCTTATCAGCCCTTTTTATGACCTCCAAACGGCATCTAGAATTCCAACTATTTCATTTACAATATATAAAAGACCATGTCCTAAGAAAAGCAAACAGTGCTGCAATGGAGGACCTGAAAATGCATGGCACGTCTTCTTATCTTGCCCAGAAAGTGTGGCGTGTTGGCGTCAACTGAATATGCTAGATGAAATATCTTTAAAAATGCAACACAAGGAGAGCTTTAAGGAGTTTTTCTTTGACACCGTAGCAGCCCAACCAAGTGGAAAGCTGCAAGTTTTCGCCATGACTTTATGGAGTATATGGCGGAGGAGGAACTTGTTGTATTGGGAAGGAACACGGGAGCTAACGCAACAAACAATTCAGCGCGGGGCAGAGGTGCTAAACGCATGGAAAGGAGCACAACTCTTGAAAGATACTCCGGTTGCAGCACCGAGAGTTGAACAGTGGACAGCTCCTCCTCCAGGCTACATTAAATGTAATGTAGATGCAGCTCTGTTTGACAATGGCAGAAGGTCTGGTTGCGGGGTGTGTGCTAGAGACTGCCGTGGACGCTATATTATGGCACGAACGGAGTGGTGGAATACAACGTTCAGTCCGGAAGAAGCTGAAGCTTGGGCTCTTAGACAGGCCATGACATGGATGATTACCAAGCGGTATACAAGAGTCATTTTTGAGTCGGATTGCAAACGACTTGTGGATGACATACGAGCTGACCGTGATATTCATCTGGAGTATGGGTCTTTGGTGGATGATTGCAGGTTGCTGCTTAAGTCCAACAACGAGTTTCAAGTTGTTTTTACTAGGAGACAAGCGAACAATAGTGCTCATGCTTTAGCTAGGGTATCTATTAATCATGCTTCTCCCAAAGAATTCTCTTTTATTCCCCATTGTATTCTTCACATTATCAATGATGAAATGAATTAAGATTTTGGTTTTCAAAAAAAAAAAAGAAAAGCAAACAGCTGCGCCGATTGGGAGCGCAACGCATGCTCCCAGTTGGCGTCTTCACAAAATACAATGAGACTGAATTTGAAGTCGGAACAAACTGATCTTTCAGACGTCATCGAAGTACTTTTCTTCGGCATCATAATTGGCCTCCTTTATCCAATGATCATCCAAGCTTTCATCTTCATCAATTTTTGAGTAATCAAAGCTATCTTCCCCTAACAAAAATTTGTGTTGCATGATGTATGTAAACTGGTCCATTCGATCTTGCATATCCTCAGATGACACACTCTCCACCTCGGCTGCTTTCATGGTTGCAGGCAAGAGGAGGTTGCTACTCCTGTCATTACTGTTTGTGTGTATCTGGGGAGTTATAAGAAGAAATCAGTATCAGAGTAAAAAAGCCTCCAACTTCTGATATGAGCAAAAAGAATGAGAAAAACATCCAACCATCAAATTGCCAACTAGGAAAGTCTCACATTTAGTCCCTTGTTTGTTTACTATAACCAAATCCTAGACCTTTACATTTTCTAAATGTGGTAGTGTGACTAGTGTCTCAATTGTTATATTCAAAATAGAGTTAGTACAAGCCCTAAACCTCATCGTTTGGTAATAGGGTTTACGATGGCATTCTTGACAATATAGAATGACCAGAACGCTCTCCATAAACCCTGACAATGTAAATAGTGGTTTTAAGGGTAGAGAAGGTCTAAATCTACAAATAGTCTACCTTAATAAAAACTACCAAGGGGGTTTTGGATCTGATTCTTGAAACTTCTTCTTCTCCTTCAGGGAGCAGAAGCAAAAGCTAAAGTGTTTGGGTTAAAGTGTAGAAGTGATTCTGGTGCTCTAATTTACTCCTAGAATCAGTTTTTTTAGAAGCTGGGGGTGACCACCTTCTGAAAACTGATTCTGCTTCTGCTTCTGCTTTAAAAAAGAAGCAGAATCAAAATCAGTTCCAAACACCCCCTAAGAAAGACTTAAGACTTAAGAGCACTTTTTGTGACACTCAAATTGATGGAATTTGATGCTGAAATTGGTGAAATTCTGGAAAAACCGGCTGAATTTTCTAAATTAAGGAATAAAATTAAAATATATTTTGTTAAAAATAAACAAAATATCATATGAAAAATAGTTAAAATAGCCCCCTTCAGCCAATTTAACCAATTCCGTCAAAAAAGTAACTACATCCTTGCTTATATTGATTATTACACAACTCAGTGCACGAAATCGAAAGTTAGGTATTGGGTAAAAAGGTTGGTTAATAAAGCTTATAAGCCGAAAACAAAGGTTACTAAACGGGCTCTAATTTTTACAAAATCACAAAGATATGCCCCCGTATAGATAATATCAAACATTTGGGAACTAAAAAATGTAACTTTCCCAACCCACTATGCAAACTTAGATGAATACTACAAGAATATAGACAATAGAATATCCATATTTAAAAAGAGATCACCATAAGTATGCGTATATAAAAATAATCACATTCTTCTTTAATTGTGAATTTACATTGACACAATTAAACCATTAAGGGCACACATGAAAAAAGGCTAGCTTAAAATCTAGAACAAAGAGCCTGTGCTTCTTTCTTGATTGTTAAAGGGTTTTGTTAGGTTTAAAAGCACAAAATGCATGTTCAACGTCGATGTAGAACTAGCAAAATGATCTAAAATTGAGGGGTTAATGCGTGAAACCCCCAGTTATATAAAAACTATGAACATTAGCCTCATGTGATTTAAAAAATGCTTTAGACTCACATGTATTATAATTATTTATGCACAAAACACCCTAAAGTAACAAAGTAGCGATTTGAAAACCGCATTTCTTAATGTTATGGTTGAACGTATAAGAAAATTTGTCAAGATCTCTAATTATACAAAAACACTAATCACTTTTCTTTTATCCGGCAATTAAATTTAATCCACGTGTGTTTGATGCATTTTATAAATCCAGCTGTGTTTGATGCATTATACTACGTATATCACAAAGGGCTTTAACACATTGAACTATAAAATTGAAGAATACACAAGTTCATTATATGCTTCAAGTAGGACACTATAAAGCTATCAAGGTGCTCCCAAGAAAAGTAAATGGCAACATCTCCAATAGTAGGCTTAGTCTAAGAGATCTAAAAAAGAAGCTATTACCTCTTGTCCATCTGTCGTAGTGTTATTTCCATCCTTTTCCACTTTTTCTTCTTCGAATCCCTCCTCCTCCTCCTCTTCTTCTACTTCTACTTCTTCTCCTTCTTCTTCTTCATTTTCTCCATGTTCCTCTTCTTCATGTGCATCCCTTCCAAACCCTATCCAATCACTTTGAGCCACGCCTCGTTTCTTCTGCTCATTCCTGATTTTCTCCACCAACATTGCCTCTTCTGACAGCCTCATCAGCGTCTCCGACCATCGCTCCCCAGGCCTCGCCATGCTCCTCCCAATAGGATCCTGAAACTTCCCGATATACTCATGGTGCAAATACGGTTCCCTTTCCCTCATTGCATCTTCCGAGAAGTACTGTCCTCCACTAATCAGCTTGTCCATATATGCCCTCCTCCGGTTCTTGACCTTAACTGATCTGGACTTCAGTTCTGATTCAGTCGGGCTGATAAGGCTAAGAAGATGATGTAGGTGCCAATTAACTTCATAATCATCCTTTAACGCATCAAACTCTCCAAGTTCGTCCTTTGTCAAAAGTGATCCGTAGCGCTCTGAGATTAAATAGAATCAACAAAATTAAACGCGTCAAGAAAACAAAAAAAAAACAGATAATGCATATGATGATGACAGAATTAGAGGGTGTCCTGAATATAGAATTTGAAAGATTTTTTAGGATTGATAGTCTATAGATTTTAATAGAAATACATTGATTCTATCATATTCTAATTGAATTCTATGAAATCCATATGAATAGGAGAATAAGTGATCGGTTTTTTATAAGAACACACGTAGTGTTTTTTAAGCTTAGAAAATATGAAATTCCGAGGACACCCACTTAGATCTTATCAACTAAATAAGATCATTACTACTTTTTCCACAATTTCATACCATTACAATTTAGATCAAAACAGACAAATATATACAGTCACACACAAATAGCCCAGATTTAAACCTTCGTATCAAAGTATAAGAATGAAAGCATGATCCGGATACGAGGGCGGAGTGTGACAGAAAGAGTTAACCGGTGTACCTAGGAAAATAGGGACGTCGCGAGAGAGAAGGTCAAGCAGGAGGGACTTCCGGCAGGATGGCGTGGCGGTCGACGACTTGGCAGCGATGGGAAAGTAAAGGTTATCGAGGTGAGATAGTCGATCAGAGATTCTATCCATCGTTCCGCAGCTCAAGGGTGTGGCCATACGTTATACATTTAAGAAGAGGGTCGTGATCTTCAAATTACGCTATCTACGGCACCCCCATTTGAGGTGGCTAACACAAAATTTTGACTTCACCAAACCTAACAGAAAATGGGCGGTTTGGTTAGATTTGGGTTTGCTTAAGCAAATAGTCTGGCGGTAATTTACTCAAATCCAAAAACCTTAAATCGAACATTGAACCACGACTTTGTTTGCAACCACTTGTGCTTAAATAAAAGCACTTTTTGGGAAAAAGTGATTAATAGTAAAAGTTGGTAGTGTTTGGTAAAATAAGTGTTTTTTGTGTAATAGAAAAAGTAAAAAGTAGATTCTATACGAAAACCGATATGATAAAAGTTGATAATGTTTGGTAAAATAAATGTTTTTTTCTTTAAAAAAAGCCAAAAACACTAATCAACCGAGATTGCAAACAGAGCCAAAAGCACTTAAGTGTGTGTGAGAGTGTGTGTGCACATAGACACACACATAAATACTTTGTATTTTTATTTACTCTTCATCTTTAAAATAAAAATAAATAGTTTAGATATGCAAATACAAATTTAGCATATATCATTTTAACTTTTACACATTTCATACATTCAGTATGACAAAGTTAACTAATACGACATATTTGTATATTTTTAATGTTTTGTACTCATATGAAAAAATATTTGGCGATAACAATAGCGAATTGTTTTTATATTTTTTACACGATTCATTTGAATAAAATTGTGAATACTACGGAGTACAACATTTGCACCACTAAATCATTTCATTTTCTTTGAATATTTTATGTGATATTATAAATGCTAATCAACTACAAATTTACTTTTTGTGAGAAGTGAATCTTTTTCTAGTGATTGAAAAGATGTTAGAAGTTTTAATTTACAAAATTGATCTTTGTATCCACTCTTATACCCACTTTTGTACACACCTATGCTTGTGAAGTGTTTTTTTTTTTGTCTGTGAACCCCGGCTCACAGACAATATTTTGCATAGACAAAATATTGTCTGTGAACCCGGGTTCACAGACAAAAAAAACCTCCACAAACATGGTGGGTATAAGGTGGGTATAAAAGTGGGTACATCAAGCATTGTTGATTAATTTATACGTAGTAATATTTACTTATTTCTTTTTCTCTCTTTTATTTTCTTTTACATTTTATTTAAATAATAAATAAAAGAAGATGAGATGGACTACTACTTTCATTTTCTAATTCTAAAATATAAAATTTGATCAAATAAAATAATAAACATAAGAAACTGAATCAAATCACACTAAATGGTTTTCACTTTGGTAAACCGAACTGAACCAAAACCGAACTTCACGAGCGGCGGCAAAACCGCATCAGGCTGCTATACCAATGTGTTTTCGAATCACGGAGGAAATATGTGACGAAAGCAACGGCGCCGCAACCAATACCGGTGTGTCTTCTGATCATTGAGTGTTTATTGGGTTGTCTCGATTATTTTTAAAGCAATTAATTTGTATTGTATCTTTTTTAATAATATCTTGTATTTGTTATTCAATGCATAATTTTGACCATCAATATATACTCCCTCCAGGAATGTATTTGGGGGGAGGGGCGACCGTCCCCTTGGACTTTCAAAGTTTTATATTGTAAATATAATATTTTCATAAATTTTATAATTTAATTATATGTATGTGTTCGTCCCCTTGATTTTGATTTTCAAAATTAATACTAGTTTTGTTGCACGCTGGATGATTAAAATGTCTAATGTGATTTACGAAATATTAATATCAAGTTATGTTATTATTTTGATGATACATACTGTTTGTATGCACTAATCAGTCATACAACGAGTGTTGTCCTGTGGGAAACTGGGAAAGTAGTGTTGATGATTCGTATAATGGATGCAAGACCTCAGGAACACTCCAAGGCTGTAATAAGAATATGAGGATTTTTACGATCGCTAAAATAGGCACAAAATTCATCCCAAAAGAATGAGTATTTAATAAAGAACTTCATTCATCCACCTCCAATCAACATGGTCAACTATGGGGTGTTTGAAACTGATTCTGCTTTTGCTTCTGCTTCTTTTTTAAACCAGAAACATAATCGGAATCAGTTTTCAGAAGCTGGTCACCCACAACTTCTAAATAAACCGATTCTAGGAATAAATTTGAGTACCAAAATCACTTCTGCACTTTCATCCAAACACTCTAGCTTTTGCTTCTGCTCCCTGAAGGAGCAGAACCAGTTTTAAGAATCAGATCCAAACACCCCCTATATGAATGGTTGATCCACCACCTTCACAAGGCCTTATGAGATATCCATTTGACATCATTTATGCTCTCACAAAAATGTTGCACTTGTGACATGCTAGGACCATTCTTAGTGTTGTTCAGTGAACTTTCACATATCTAGAAAGAATGTAAACAAAGGCGGTAAACCTCATAATACCTTGATTATTTGTAACTTTCAATAGCTTAATCCCTTTTAGGCTATGTTTATTTGTTGTTGAGACAAACCGCAAGACTTCCATCTTCCATACCAGACGTATATCGTAGTAACCAGAAGTCACAAGATGATGCTAAAGTGGTAGGTGCATAGAGCTGATTCAAATAACCATAAACATGTTTCTGAGACAATTCAACAAATATATGATAAAACATGTCAAAATTTTCACTCTGGTCACACGACTATTAAGTCACTCCACTTTTGGTACCCAACTACAGGTTTGTAAGTTGTAACACCGGACCCAAATTTTACCTTGAGAAATTTTTTTCCATCAAGTACGGGATTAAAGGTAAATCAATGCTAAGAGTAGTCTTAATAGATGAGAAAGATAAAATCCATGTCTTAAATTACTAAAGGATTATTAAGTAAGTCGTGGGACCCACGTAAAGGAGTAGGTGTAAAACTCTGGAAATGTTTACATATAACATTGGGTAAATTACACATGACACATTGATAGGAAGGTGCAGTAATAATTTTTTTTTACGGATTAAACTTTTATCGTGTAGTAAAACTACATGTGGGATCCACATCGGGAGCGGGGACCACCCGAGGTACTCTAAGTGTGTGAGATATTAATGTTGATCTAAACGATATTATTATGATAGTAGGAATGAGTCGTGTACCACAGTGATAAAAGGAATGACAACTTGATGGCCGAGCGGGGCCACTGTCAAATGACTGGGTCAAAATATCAGATCGTTTATAATTCGAAAGATGACCTAATTAATAATAAAAGACATGTAACTATTCTAAGAGCTCAAAATAAAGGGATTATTAATATAATTTCGTACATTAAAGGAGGGTACTTACGGAGGACCCTACCTTGATGATATTTTGGTATGAGAACAATGAGATAAGATTTTATATGTCCTTACATTTCGGACCACTTAAAAAGAAGTGTAACATTTTATCAAAAGTGAAACAAACTATTAAACCACATATTGAGTCACGAGAAATGACAAATAAATCTACGAGACGTACATTTTCATTTTTTAACTTTTACCTGAACACTAAAATGCATGTGTGACCTACACCGAGAGCGGGGACCACCCAACATATTCAGGACCACATATATTCATCTTGGTTTAGATAATATTTATATGATGGTGTATATCCAATCATAGATATTACATAGAGTTAGTTGGTTGATCAAACGATGTAACATTACCAATATTGGTAATTTGACAGATAACAGCCCAAAATAAATTCCGAGCACTACTAAATTAAAGTTGGGTAATATATATTCATTGCAGGCCCGGCCCTGGGCAAGGGCAGGCTGGGCTTGTGTCCCGGTCCCAACATCTATAGGGGCCCATAATTTCATATATATACAGAGAGAGAGAGAGAGAGAGGACAATTCATATCAAACCGAGGCCATTTGGGGCTCTTTGAGATGAATTTTTTGATGAAACTTTTTGAGCATATTCTTCATCAAATTTAGATTACATCTACAAAGTTTCAGATTAAAATTCAATCGGGAAGTCAGTTAAATAAAATATTGAACATACTGCGCTTTATATATATATATAAAACTAGACGAAGTACCCGTACGATGCACGGGAATATCTAGAATTGAATAGTAATTAATATAAAATTATGTTTTACAATGGTGTGTAATTTCTCATTTTGCGAAGTAAAAACTGACGATATAATTTATATGTTTTAACTTTTATTAAATACGTTGTATTAACCATAAGAAAATCAAAATATAGATCGTATGAGATATTGCATGTAAAATAAGAAAAATGATAAGATATAAAATAAATTCTATGTGACAACTAAATGACTCGATAGTACTATTCAGTACAAAAAAGTTACGGAATTGACACGGATTGAGTGATGATTTCGTGCCAAATAGCTCGTGCAAAATCTATATTTGATGTTAATGGTTAATAACTAAAAAAAGTACATAGATGAATTATTCTACAACAATCTATAATGTATAGCCAAAAAAAAATAGAAAGATAGATAATAAGTGGTACCATGTTTGGATATTAATATGAAATATTCTACCATTTCCAGTGCTTTATTACCCAATGTTGGGTGGATCAAATACTTTGTTTCTAACCAATTTTTTTGAATTTAATAAGCATTAGTATTTGTAATTTAATGATATTTAAAATTAGAGTAGTTACGTGTGTAGTGTATGGTATCAAGTTTTCATCTTATATTACTCCCTCCGTCTCGAAATTAACTTCCCGCTTTCCTTTTAGGGTAGTCCCAAAATTAACTTCTCACTTCCTTATTTTGCAAATTATCTACATCAAAATAGTGCAAAACAGTGTCAATCAGTGTCGAAACAGTCTCAAAACAATGTCAAAATATTAAAATTTACCCCTCAATAACTTCTTTTCCTTAATATGTGTGAAATCCAAGTGAGAAGTTGTTCCTGGGACGGAGGGAGTAGTAATTAGTGTATACGGAGCATACACTATGGTATAGATACTAATGGTTTGTTATAGTAGTTAGTGTAGTTGCCACCTCACTTGCATAGTTGTCACATTACCTAATGATTTTGCACTGACCGGACGATTAATTGTAAATAGTGAAAATTGAAACTTTTTATCCAGTTCAGGGTACCAGTCAATTTTTTATTCACGAGGAAAACTTAGCATTACGGACATGTACAGGGGCCTATTCGGCCCTTTAGCCTTATTATTTACTTCC